GAAACAAATGCTACGATTAATAGAGATCATAGATCTGCTTACTTCTCGTTTCCATCTCATTTACATCTATCAAGGAGTACTTAAATCTTAACTTAATCAGACTATATCACCGTCGCTGCTGGCCACAGCGACGAACTTATTTCATCATCTAGATCTAGCTTTTACACCCACCATGAGTTAAGCGCGCTATATAAATTGGTAATCACTATAAGAGCGGAAGTGTTTAGAAAGAAATACTTTCGTAAACCCAAGTGATTGCCTTAAAACCCAGCAAACCTCGCTGGTATCATAGCAAAATGTTCATTATAGGAGCGACCGTGTCGTTGTAATACACGCCCGTAAACCGAAATGTTCATTCAAAAACCCAACGAACAAATCTTTGGTCTCTACGCGATAACGTGTTCATCATAGGAGCAGTCGCGTCGATATAATACATGATCGTAAACCAAAATAATCATCAGAAAACCCAACAACTTAATCGTTGGTCATTACACAAGAACGTGTTCATTATAGGAGCGGCCGTGTCGATGTAATACATGGTCGTAAACCAAAATAATCATCAGAAAACCCAACTACTTAATCGTTGTTCATTACGCAATAACGTGTTCATTATAGGAGCGACCGTGTCGATGTAATACATGGTTGTAAACCAAAATGGTCATGCAGAAAACCCAACAACTTAATCGTTGATCATTACAATATAACATATTCGTCTTTGCTGCAGAATTATCAGCGACGAACTTCTCATAAACCAAAATGATCATTGTTTAAAGTAAACGGACGAATCACCAGTCCCGAAACGATATAACAATAGCACACTTGGAGCAGACTGACCAATACTCTAACGCTCATTTCAATAACTTAAGAGATCAAGCATCTAAACTTACAACAAAAGAACGTTCGATACAAAAATCTCTAAAACCCAACGAACAAATCGTTGGTCACAACACCTTTTGGACGAAATACCGGACGGACATCGTCTTCGGCATTATCCAAGTCTGAAATGATTTCAAAAGTATCCATGTCGTGTTGACAGCGTAACCAAGAATCCAAAGAGTCAAAAACCATTCTATTCGTTCCACCATCTCTAAAGTTTCACCTAGTCAGGAACAACTTTTTCACATCAATGCCTTCGCTCCAGTTTTATCACGATCAAATCCACTTCGCACAAACTCACTGGGCGAAAAGTTGAATTTGTCATCTTCGAACTCGTCGTCAACATGAGGTCACCTTGTCAACGTCAACACAATTCCACCGCAGTGTCAAGTCAATACAAGTCCGCTTTGGCTTTAAGTGGACACGACCACCTCGTCGTCACCGCGAGTCTACCTCGGCATTGTCAACACGAGTCTATCTCGACATCAAATAAACAAGTCCGCCTTGATTGTCCTTCCTCGCCAAGACAGCCTCGTTGACTTGTCTCTTATCTCAAAACGACCTCGTCATAACCATCGGCGTCGCATCGTTCAGACTTCGCCTCGCTGTCGCATCGATCAAGCTTCGCCTCACCATCGCGTCGATAAACCTTCGCCTCATCGTCGCATCGAACAAGCTTGGTCATGCTGTCGCATCGAACAAACTTCATTTTGCTGTCGCATCGATCAAGTTTCGCCTCGCTGTCGCGTCGATCAACCTTCGTCTCGTCGTCGCAACGAACAAGTTTTGTTATGCTGTCGCATCGAACAAGCTTCGTCATGCTGTCGCATCGATCAAGTTTCGCCACACCATCGCCTCGATCAAGCTTTACCTCGCCGTCACGCCACCTTCACTGACTTCGCTTCGTCATCACACCGATCAAACTTTGCCTCGTCGTCGCACCGAACAAGCTTTGTCTTGTTGTCGCATCGATCAAGCTTCGCCTCGCCGTCGCGTCAATCAAGCTCCACCTCGCCATCGCATCGACTTCGCTTCGTCGCCGCATCGATCAAACTCCACCTCATCAACGTCACCTCGCCCGACATAATCACCTCATCGCATCATCACCTCGTCGAGTCGTCGGATCCACAAATCAACCTTGCGTCATCGCGTCACCCAATCTCTTCAAATTCAACTCGTTGTTGCGTCGATCAAGCTTCGTCTCGACTAGTCATCGCTAACCTGTTCGAGCACGCGAACAGTCAAGCAGCAAACAGTCAAGCAGCGAATTGACAATCTCTCCGGAATTATCTAGGTTTAAAAATAGTCTTCATGCTGTCCTTGTCGCGCGAACGGTCAAGCTGCAAGTCCGTAGAGTCGAAAACCATTATTTTCAATTCACCTCTCTGCTGCACCAAAGAGCAATGACCCGAGTCAGTCTTGATCCGCAAAGCCAGCCTTGTTACCAAGTCGTTGAATCACCGAGTCACTGGCTAAAAAAAAAAAACTGACCGAGAAAACTCAGTGAGTCAACTCGCCGAGTCAACTCGTCAGAAACCATTTTTCTCTGATCTTGCCGTTTCTGCGTCACCTCGCCGTTGCCATGCCACCTCGCCTCGATCTCGAACCTCCTTGACTCGATCCATCTCGAATCGATCCGCCTCGTCGTGTCACGTAGACTCGATCTCGATCTCGAACCATCTCTCTCGCTCGATCTCGTCGGGACTCTCTTTCTCTCTCGATCTTGCCGGAACTCTCTCGCTCGATCTTACCCGACGACGACGCAGACGATGGTGACAGGAAGTGACGAGGTCGACGGTGAAGAGGAGGCGGCGGCTCGTTCGAAGAAGG